CAAGTTAAAGTCTTTAAGTAGTAATGTTTTACAGTCTGGACGTGTTGGACTTCTTAACTTGAATGGAGAAAAAACAAAATGGAAGTTACACAGTATTGTGATGGAAACGCTGACTCTGCGAGTGCAGGAACATCAGAGTATTTCATTTTAACTTTTCTTGCTGGACATACTTAACACCACTAAGGATAAAATTACTTTTTAATTTACAACTTATCTCTCTGCACTTTTTGTAGTGGTCAGAGTTCCCTATTATAATTCTTCCCTAAGGCTATATCTTAAAGTTTCACTTCAGCTGCCATTTTAAATTAACTTTTAAGAGTGTGCAGAAAGGAAAACCTCTCTATTCCTCAGTGACTCTCAAAAAACACAAGTTCCAGCAGGATTATGCATTAGAGAGAACTTTGAACTGTTTTTCTTAAGGCCCTGGTGCTTACTCAGTCAGTGTACTGTTCAACTCTGTTTATATTTTGTTCGCAGTCATTAAAATCCCAGACACATGTGCTCGTAGGTATTTCCATCCTTGGAGGGTTGTGAGGGCATAAAGAAAAGAAGAGTGGACAAGACAGACATATTGTGTAAATGGCTACTTGATGTCAGTGTACATGAACTGCTGCTCACCTGGCATCTGACTGTCCTTTTTTGTTTGCTGTTCTGGTTTTGCCGTCATACAATAATGTAGCCAGTGGTAAAGCAAAGTAGGCTTTGAAGCGTGAAAAGCGAGTATCTTAACCATTGTTCCCCTGCTACCAAAATACCTCTGGTTTGCTTCCTTGGAGTATTGACTTTCCAGTCTAGTGATTGCATTTCAGTGTCTGCATTAAATACTTAATTGCTATCGTTTTAACATACAGTAGATACAATGTAGGTGAAAACTACGCATAGTTGGAGAAAAGGCAAGGCAAAGAGTGGTACAGCAGAAATGCAGGCAGGAAGAGAAATGGAGCAAAGAGAATGAAGAAAAAAGTAGGAAAGAACACAGAAATTCAGTGTAATTCGAAATTGGTGAGACGCTTAATGACTAATAAAATGAATTCCAGTTACATAAAATGTATATTCCTTGTATTTGATTTTTTTTGCCAGCCTTTATCTGACATCATTACAGTTTTCTTTCAAGGGCAGAGTTCTCTACAAATTTGAATGAATGCTAGCATGGCCTGCAAGGAAGCTTGAGTTCTTGTTCTGTGGGCTGATATGTACATACATATGCAAAACCTTTCGTTGGTGTCTCTGCCTGTTTTGTTTCTATTGCGCACTTTATACAATATTGAGAACCTACAGCAAAGGGGTAGGGAAATGAGTAGATCAATTTTGTACTTTCAGTATCTAAGACCTGTGAAATAGATGTATTTTTAAACCAGTATTCTCTCTACAGGGAATTATCTTTTTCGCAAAGCATCTGTCGTGCGTTTGTTCCTCTCTGTGTCTTTTGGTTTGGTTTGGGGTTTTTTGGCTCTCCAGAAGTATTCTTGCCTTCTCACAGCTAGATAGTAATCCTCTTATCCCCAAGAGGATCAGTAGGCTGGGATAGATTGGACGTGAGTTAATGCTGCCCTAGTTAGCATAGAGCTGGAATTTTCTTGTAAGACTTGCTTTGTGGCTGTTTTTCTGTGTCTAGCCATGAGTCCTTCTGGTTTCTTTGGCTCAGTCTCCCTTTGATAGTGATTTGTTGCTTGCTTTGGTGATCCCTCTGCAGAAAGAGAATGCTTCCAAGTTTTGTCTTTGAATCTTTTTCAGTCCTTAGGAGCAGAAAATCCTCTTACCTTGACTGTTCCAAGTGTAATGGCAGTAAGGCTCATGGGGCCTGTAGGTAGCAGTTTGGTCTCTATAATAGCCCATACTATATAATAGGTAGAAAACTAAAATTCAGTCTGTGTTTGGGCAAAAAATACTTCATTAATTTTTATTAGCTGACCCTTTTTTAATTCACAAACTCTTTTGAACTGAACTGGCAACTAGCAAGGTATTGCAGGGATAAGTATTTCAATTGAATATTTTCTCATTCACTTAATTTTGATGTAATCTCCAAAAGAAATTCGCGTTAATGAATCCTCTCCTTTTATCAACATATAGATGGAAAAGAAAAAAAAATACAATTAGAGAAGGAAAGAGAATATAACTAAGTCTATTCCAGTCTATTCATTTCAAATAACTCTGCTCTTGCCCATTGTGAAGGTGAATTCTTCTTTCCACAATAAACACTGCGGTCCCACACCAGGCCTGTTTCCCATTCATCAAGCATCACCTTAATGATGGCTGAGGTAATTTTGTATTGAATTGCTTACTTATGTGTTTTTCTCTGTGGCAGACAGTGTCTGATGTAGCAGGTCAGGACTCGTCTTCAGTGGTGTGTCACTGAAGTGATGCAATGAGTCTCAGTCCCAACCAGTGTTGAGGAATAGCTCCCACTACTTGAGGCTGCCTCTGTCTATGCATGAATCAAGGGACAGTGTTGAACTTGTCCTCCTAAGAAAACAGTTTGCTTATTAAACATCATCTGACAGAAAAATATAAATGGATTTTTTATTTTAGGTTCATAGGCTTATCACAGTTTCTTTAGTATTTTGTGAGCATGGAATTTGGACAGTGGAAAGCCATACAATTTGCATGAAACTAAAACAGGATCTATCTGAGAAAATAATTAGGCTTGGAGGAGAGGTTTTCCTTTGCAGGATGTTTCTGGAAAGGAAAGAAAAATAGAACTAATGGTTAAGTAGAGCCTCATATTACAGGCTCTTGTCTGTGATTGTCTAGAAATTGAATTAACCTCTCTCTTGTGCATATCGCTTAAAATGTAACTTAGGAAAGGCTGCACAGAGGTTAAGACTCTGAAGGTCTAATAAGTAGAAATAGTAGCAGAGGTCCTCACACCGGGAGAAAGGAGTACTTGTGACAAGAGAGGAAAGGAGGGGAAGAGGGGGAAGAGAAATGTTAATTTTGGCAGTCGAGCTGACAGAACAGATTTGTCTCCAAGCCCAATAGTTGTAAAAGTAGGCCAAAGGGGTCTACTGAGTAAACAAATGGAAGTTTGTTAGTTCCTTCCAAAAATTATACTTTCTGTGTGCACTGTCTGGGCAGAACAGAAGATAGAAAAGGAACTTGTTAGTCTTTTAATGACAGAAGACAATTACATACGGTTTTAATGCCGCTATCAACATTTTTTCACCTTCAGGAATAAAACATCTATTGTTCATAAACACAGAGGGCTTGCCCACAGCGCTTGGGTGTTATTAAGGGGAATTGTCTTATGTGTAAATCTGTTAGGTTTCTTAACTCTGCATTCTGAAACAAGCATGAAATTTCAAGTTTTACAATCTGATATTTTCAGAGGAAAGTTTTGTAATGTATCTTTTATTTCTGTTAATTACATGTACTTTACTAATTAAAAAAAAGCACAATAAAAGTGAGGCAGTTCATTTCTAAAGACTCCTCACTGATTGTTATTGTGTGGTATCTGCCATCCTGTAGTGTTGCATGCTTTTCCTAAATAGGTAGGGGGGGTTCTGTAACTCTTTGGGGTTACTTTTTGGTTTTTGAGGGCAGGGGAAAGTCATCTGATAGGGAGGAAAAAAAAGTTTAATTCTGTAGTATTACTGGAATGTAACTGCAAAAATTTTCTCATAAACATGTACAAACTAAAGGAAAGATATAATTTTTTTTGGTGACAGATTTTAAGTCCTTAAAAATATTTTTTAAAAATACTGTTATCTTTTAATTCGAATTGACTCACCATGAATTTCTGTGGTTATATTTATTTATTTTAAAAAAAATCCTTACTACAGTAGGAAACTAAAAGTATATGGGGGGAAGAGAATGAAAGATTACTTTTGAAGCTTGCTGTCAAGAATTACTCATTTAGTCTTTATCCTCACCACAGCAAGATTTGAAGTTTGGGCTGGCAGAGGAGAAGAGGGAAAGGAAGGCAGAGAGAGAACATGGAAAAGCACCGATTAGGATTATGGGGTGAGAGGAAGAGAAGGAAGAGTGGTAAAGATCAGAGTGAGTTTGTAGGACTGGAGCGGGAATAACAAGCTCAGAAAGACTTGGCAAAATTTGTTTTCAGGACATCATAGTGAAAATTTGAGAACGGAAGGAAGGCTTGATCTCTAATGATTTTCCTTTAGTGACTGACCAATCTACCACCCCTTGAAAAAATGCATAGCAGCCCCTGTAAAAAAGGAATTATCCACTTCTCATACTTACTGGGCTGCTAGAGATATGGGTAAATCAGGGAGTAGCCTCTGAGAATAGGACTAGCTGATATGAGGGAATCAAACAGAGAAAAGATGGGAGCTGGTACCTTCATGACAGCAATGTGGATGGAGAACACAGACTAGCTCTTCAGAGGCCTGCACTGGAAAACGCTTGATTGACCCAATGTAAACAAAATAAGCTGTGCTTTTACCTAGTAGCAAGTACCTAAGCCCAGCACTTTTGTTGGGACATACCTTTTTGGTAGTGGAACATGTATTATATACATATACAAAAATGCAGGGCTACAAAACCAGTTTATGTTCCTGATCTCAGGCAAGAGTAAACCTATTTAAAATTTAGCAATATGGAACCTGTGCCATGGGATTATATTAGGTCGACTGGGCATGATAGACAAAAATCAAACATCCTGTGTGGCAAATAGGTGAGTATTAGGAAGAAGGGAGTAGCCAGTTAAACTGAAACGGCTTAGACTGTGGTCACAGCAAGCCAGTACATAAGATATGCAGAAAGCGTTAATTCCACCAAAACAGGACAGGGAATAGTTTTAAATTGTAAAAGTGTACAATTTTCTTAGCATTCAGAAATGTCTCACTACCTTTTCAAGAAAGTTTATTCCAGCAAGTTATTTCTTTGCGAATGCCATTAAACACTTCAAAGCACCATGTGCTTATTTCAGTAGCAATTTAGATTTTTGCAGCAGAGTGTAATGTCTTCTTGTGTGCGATGAGCCTGAACCAATCTTTTATGTTCTTTTTTTCTTTGTCTTTCTAAATGTGTGTGGGCTGCAGATGGTTCTGTGAAGGAAAAGAACTCCAGAATTCCCCTGACATTCAGATCCGTTCTGGAAGTGGAGGACTTCATTCACTAATTATAGCAGAAGCCTTTGAAGACGATACTGGACGCTATACTTGTCTGGCTTCAAATTCCATTGGTTCAGACAGTACATCAGCTGAAATATTCATTGAAGGTAAGAGGTGAAATAATAAGATACTTGATGCCTACAGGAAAAGATAACTAAGCTGAAGTTTACTTTGGGTTCTGTATGTTAAGATTACATTTGCTTTGGTGGTATTTTTATGGTGTTCCTCTGCTTCCCCTTAATGCAACACACTTTGAACGTCACATCATATTAATTCAGGTATTTCAAGGAATGTCCCAAGAATCAGTGGGTAGATATTGCTATTTTTGTAGGGTACAAGGAAGATAAAGAATGCAAAAGGAGAAACAAGCAGAGCTTTTGGCGTATGGTTAACTTTTAAGTGGTACCCTCTGTAAATCCAAGATCTGACTGTTGATACCAATAATGACTTTCATGATAGCAGTAATTCCTGCCTCAGTTCTGAACTTCCTCCCAGTGCAAATAAATGTGGCTGCCCCAAATGAGTCTTCTTCAGTCATGTGTAAATGTATTATAATTCTTCATATTTGGTACACTGACTTTAAGTCAGGTTAAAAGTCAGTCATTCTGGTTTTGTCTGGAATCAGTTGCTAGTAATTGTCAAAATATTTCTTGACTTCAAAATTAGTCATAATTCAAGTATTATATTCTCTGAGGAAACTTAATGACTTGACCATGAGTAAAATTATTAAATTATTTTTGTAGTGGAGGACTGTATTTTAGGCATGATTATATTAATTGAATACTGATTTTTATTTTAAAACATTCATCTTTCAAACATCTTGGTAATATGTATTCTTTTACCAGTTTTGTAACTCGTTAAAATTAATTTAAATGGTTAATTGAAAGCATAAAACAAGTTCATATAACAAATAGTCATAACAAATCTGAATAATACCATACCAAAATGATTAAATAGCTTTTGATTAACAAAGCAATAAACTTTTCACTATAAATTAGCTAAATTATGACAGATGTGTATTTTATAGGGTTTCTTTCATTATGTTTTTTATTCTCAGAACTTTGTTATTCCACACTGGGATATAATAGCAAAATCCCCAAGACTTTTCTGAATCTTACGGATTCCAGTAAGACTTTTCTGTACAGAAGTAAGCAGGATTTCAGAAATACTCAGGGATAGTGCAAACATATAATACTGTGTGAAGTTATAATAACAGCAGCAACACTAAAAAAGAAACAGCTAGGCAGAGAGATACAGTGAATAAAACAATTTCTTTTTTGAGATCTGGGAAAGTCTTACTATGTGGAAGTGCTCTCTTGAAGTTTTACAACATGTAACTTTGAAACAGAGAGAATTGTAGAAGTTGTTAGGCTCCTCCCCTGTGATCTTTAAGGAAACCAGATTGTCACACAAGCATTGACTTGTACATTAATAATCTTGATGACACTGATGCCTCATACTTTCTTCTGTGCAGCAGGCCCAGCCACACAAGACCTGGTTATCCTTTGCTCATGAGAAATACTTTTATGTAGACCCACTTTGCTGACTTGACATTGCTTCTCTCTTCTTACCTTTTCTGTACTACTTGTTGCTTTAATTTTTGTAGTCTAAACTTTGTAAATAAATAGGGTACTCAGGTGCCTCAGTCCAAGCTTTGTTTCATTGGAATCAGTCTGTGCTATACTATGCATATTGATTATGAATTGCTTATGATTTGTATTACAAATACAGCTATCGATATGTGTGCACAAATCCTTTGAGGAATAATATGTACTGCATAAATGTCTAGAATAAATGTTGTGTGAAGTACCAGTTGTTAGGAAAAAATAAGACAAAGGGAGTAAATGCTTTCGTATTTTTCTTTAAGTGAGTTCAGGGTATTGCCAAGCGCATACATTATATCAAGGTTTCCACTGGCAAGAAATACCAGTACATAAATGTTATGTGTAGGGTAATATAAATAGTCTGAACTATGGAGATCGTGAGCAGCAAGTTTAGTCTGAAAATGTCTTGCTATACTGAGTTGCTCCTACTTAAGGTTGAAGATTTGTTATCTGTGTATAAGCCATCTGTTTGCTTAAGCTTTAAGCTTTAACATTCAAATAAATAAAATCATACATTTCCAGTACAGTAGTAGTAGTCAGCAATTTTTTTTCTATTTTGGCTATATTTGCTTCAATATGAAGGAAGACAGCTAAGAGCCTAAGGAAACCAGTTTGCAATTAAATTGGCATCGTTATGATTTCTGGAACTGTCTAAAGTACATAGTTACAATCTTTATCAGATAAGAAAAACTGCAGTAGTTTATTACAGAGAATTCTCAACTCTTGAAGTGAAATGCAAAAGTAGCATAGTTTTTTCTTTGGAATTTAAACATTAAATAAAGCAGTAAATGGATATGAGGTTATTGAAAATACTTTCTTTTCCAGGTGCCAGTTCCACAGATTCAGAGAGTGAAAGTTTAATTTTCAAATCAAAATCTGGAGCTATGCCACAGTAAGTGTGCAAAGTAGAACCAATGATGTGTAAATGTTCTTAATAAGGGGCACTGGAAAATCTTTGGTAGTTTTAGATCTGAATAAGCATCTGGGGTATATTTGTCTATGTCTTGTCTTTTCTCCTTCTCTCATGTGATATAAATGTGTAGTATTATAACTGTAGATTGTATTAATGTGCTTTTTCTGGCAGAGAAACCTAGCCCTACCCTGACAGCTCTTTTGTTGATATCAACTTTCCATATTCAGGAGTAACTTTAAGTTAACCAAGTCTTCATTTGTAATCACCCAGCCCTGTGCCTCCAAAAAAACATGCAGAGGCCTACAATTAAAGACACAAAATACATTTTAGTTTGTGTCTTAAATCAGTACTTTTTATTGGGTGTGAAAGCGTAAATTAGCCAAAGACTGTGTTCTACTCAAGCTTCCTCCAATGTTGATCTTTTCAGCTGATAATGACATATTTAGAGATGTAGAAAATACAAGGTGGCTTATGGGTTACAAACGAACATATTCTGATTTCAGATCTTATACAGTGCTTGCTGTTTTGTTTTTTTTTTTTTAAGGGCCCAAAAGAAAACCACCTCCGTTTCCTTGACAATAGGGTCTTCTACACCAAAGTCTGGAGTCACCACAGCTGTAATTCAACCTATCTCTGTGCCCAGTCAGCAGGTATTTTTAGACACCAATTTTTAAATTACATTTTAAAATCTGATTTCAAAATTTGTAACTCCTGAAAAACTCTGTCATTTTGAGGAGTTATATTATTATCGTAGAATCCTAGAATGCTTTGGGATGGAAGGGACCTTTAAAGCTCATCTAGTCCATCCCCCCTGCAATTGGCAGGAACATCTACAACTAGATCAGGTTGCTCAGAGCCCCATCCAGCCTGTCCCTGAATGTTTCCAGGGATGGGGCATCTACCACCTCTCTGGGCAACCCGTTCCAGTGTTTCACCACCCTCATCATGAAAAATTTCTTCCTTCTATCTAGTCTGAATCTACCCTCTTTTAGTTTAAAACCATTACCCCTTGTCCTATCACTACAGGCCCTGCTAAAAAGTCTGTCCCCACCTTTGTTATAACCCCTTTTAAGTACTGAAAGGCGGCAATAAGGTCTCCCCGCAGCCTTCTCTTGTCCAGGCTGAACAACCTCAGCTCTCTCAGCCTGTCCTCATAGAAGAGGAGTTCCATCCCTCTGATCATTTTTGTGGCCCTGCTCTGGACCCGCTCCAACAGGTCCATGTCCTTCCTGTGCTGAGGACCCCAGAGCTGGAGGCAGTGCTCCAGGTGGGGTCTCACCAGAGCAGAGCAGAGGGGCAGAATCACCTCCCTCGACCTGCTGGCCACACCGCTTTTGATGCGGCCCAGGATAGGGTTGGCCTTCTGGGCTGCGAGCACACATTGCTGGGTCATGTGCAGCTTTTCATCTATCAGTACCCCCAAGTCTTTCTTGGCAGGGCTGCTCTCAATCCCTTCATCCCCCAGCCTGTATTGATACCAGGGATTGCCCTGACCCATGTGCAGGACCTTGCACTTGGCCTTGTTGAACCTCAGGAGGTTCACGTGGGCCCACTTCTCGAGCTTGGCCAGGTCCCTCTGGATGGCATCCCATCCCTCAGGTGTGTCAACTCTACCACTCAGCTTGGTGTCATTTGCAAACTTGCTGAGGGTGCACTCGGTCCCGCTGTCTGTGTCATTGATGAAGATATTGAACAGCACAGTTATTGAACTACAAACTTACGTTATTTTATTAAGAATGACAATTTAAAAAAATTAAGTATGTATCTAGTGAATGGGGCATAAAAGTAAATATACATATGGATTCTTACATAGTGTGTGTCAACACAGCATGTGAGCAGCTGACAGATCTGGTGATGATGAAAATTACAGAGTATATCACTTAATAGTGACTTGTTCCAGTTCCAAAAGAATGTCATAGAAATGAATTCCTACAATATTTTTCAGCAAAATTTTTAAATTTTGTTATTAAATTAAATATTGCTGTCATTTCTCTGGGTCTTTTAGGAAAAATTAAATTTTACTATCTAGATGTTAAATGTAGAAAATCAATGGTCATTAGTTTATACTAAGTTTTAATGCCACAGTGGATGACTTAGAGTTTGCATGTAAATCATAAAATACAAATAAAATAAAAATCTCTGTTAGACTGTACATGGTAAATTCTTTTCCCTTCCTTTGGTTAACCTTGATTAGCTTTTAGGTACCTGGATTTATTTATTGCTACATCAGTCAAGGGATGTAATAAGAGGAGAGGCAAAAATGCTTCAGTGCAAAGGACTTACTTGAATGATATTAACAGGAGTCAAACTCTCAAAATACTTCAAGGCAAAGACAGTTGGATACAAAATTCTCACGGGAACTATAGAAGCCTTTAAAGCTTGCATTTTGATTTCAGAAATATAACAGATGTGAAATAGTGATGTCACTCAAGAAGCGTGCTAGAATGAGAACACCATAATAAGACTGTGCATTTGAGAGTCTGAATTATTGCATAGATATATGCAGGCCATATTATTGAAAACATTATTCTTTCCATTTTATAACATTGTTGCATTACTTTGCAGGTTCAAAGCCCTACTTCATACCTGCACCGTCTGGATGGACCCAAGCCTAGCTATTCTGCACCCATTTTTACAAAGGTATGTTTTATCCATCATGATTTTTATATCATACTCCTATAGTCCAGAAGGAAATATCAAAATGATATATACTAATGCAGGAATGTTTGATCGTATTAGAACTTTTACAGTTTTCATTACCCTTTTCAGTATTAATGACTTCCTAAGAAAATACTTTTCCACTGCAACAATGAAGTTCTTATGCTACCCTGTTAAAATCACTAGTGGAATTACATTAATATTCTGTATATGTTTGTCTTATGCCCATGACTGTCCTTCATTGAGAAATCTCTGTAAAATAAAACAAGGTAGGCATCAATTACACATCACGGTCATGATAAACTCTCATTGACAATAATGTATTTACTGGCAAGAACAAATAACACAGGCTTTTTTACTTTGTTTTAGAAAAAAATCCATGCAGGTATGTTAGTTAAAAAAACAGTTCAGATATTCTTCATTAGGATGTCTTGTAAAATGTAAGGCATAGAATCATAGAATCATTGAGGTTGGAAAAGACCTTTATGATCATCGAGTCCAGCTGTAAACCTAGCACTGCCAAGTCCACCACTAAACCATGTCCCTAAGCACCACATCTACCTGGCTTTTAAATACCTCCAGGGATGGGGACTCAACCACTTCCTTGGGCAGCCTGTGCCAGTGCCTGACTGCCTCTTCAGTGAAGAAATTTTTCCTAATATCCAATCTAAACCTCCTCTGGTGCAACTTGAGGCCATTTCCTCTCATCCTATTGCTTGTTACTAGGGAGAAGAGACTGACCTTTCAGGTAGTTGTAGAGAGTGATAAGGTCTCCCCTCAGCCTCTTCTCCAGGCTAAACAGCGCCAGTTCCCTCGGCCGCTCCTCACAAGACTTGTGCTCTAGACCCTTCATCAGCTTCCTTGCCCTTCTTTGGACACGCTCCAGCACCTCAATGTCCTTCTTGTAGTGGGGGGCCCAAAAGTGAAACAGCATTCGAGGTGTCGCCTCACCAGTGCCGAGTACAGGGGGACGATCACTTCCCTAATCCTGCCAGCCACACTATTTCTGATACCTGGGCTTTCTAGTAGGGAAACTTTTATTTGGTATTTCTTAAGTAATTATTTAAGTCAATATTTATCTTCACATTCATCCCAAATCAAACTTTAGAACTGGGAATTAGGTAACAGCAAAAAGGACAGCATGTTTCCCTAATCTTTAAAATACAACTTTAATCGACAATATGTTTTGCATTGTACCTCAAACCATCATTTCCATAGCAGTAACTATTATTTAATCACCATTTATTGAAGTCAAAATGAAGAAAAGAAGGTATTTCTGGTTTTTACTTCAGAAAAACAGTTGATGAAAAGCTAATATGGAACAGCAAGTAGTGTTACCTAGAGATAAGTAAGAGTAAGCCCTGTTCTCCACAACCTGGAGCTTGGCTCCATCATATCCCTCTCTCATGTCAGGAAAGGTCTGATTCTGTCCCTCGTAATTCTGCACTGACACTGCAGGTATTACAGGAGAGTGAATAGTGGAGGTGCAAGGGGTTAGAGAATGTGATTACTGCAAGGTAGGGAGGCAGGCAACTTCCTAGTAAGAGTGGGAAATAGGAGAAATCCAGCCCTCATTCAGAAACTACCAAAGCAATCAGAACTCTACTGTTCTTTCCCAGTCCTCATATCTCTTGTCCTTGAAATCCAGTATTAACTGGCTTAAGCCAGTTGGGACATACCAACCCAAACCAACTTCAATTACAGAAGAAATGAACCAGATATGAACAACAAAAAGTATACTTAATCCAGTTTCCTGACGTAAATTTCTTTTTATACAAACTTCAGGGAACAACCTAAAGATTTTTAGGTTTCCATGTAACAAAATTCTTATGTATTTGATTAACTAGAGATCTATGACTAGTAGCTGGGGATAACTGAGCTTAGACCTAATTTCAAGTGCTTTGCTGCATCAAGGCCTAAAACTTCATTAATAAACTGGAAAGGGAATGGGACAGCCAGTACAGTAAAAAAGACTCGTTGATTTATAATCTTAAGATGGATAACAAAGGCAAAAATAGTGGCTGTCTCCTGTCAGTTCTGTTACTTAAAATACTGTGTTTCTCCTCTCTCACTGTAGTTCTTCATCAAAGATTTAGACTCTTCCTGAAATTTTTCAGATGTATGTAAGAATTTATTACAGCCGTAATACTGTCTCAGAAGGTATCCATACATAAGCTAATATATCCTAATCATATTTGTGTCATCTAATTTTGCTTGTTTGGTTATAAATGGCTCAGAGGAAAAGCAACTCCACATTCTAGAGGTTGACCTGAAAGCAATGCAGCTACTCTCTCAGGACCGAGTCAATCAATGTGTAGTTAGTTGCAGAATTTTCACTTTGTGGAAGGATGAAAAATGAAAGGTCAGACTGCAACTATCTGCTTGTGATGGTCTGAGGAATTAAATGCTTCTACACCTTTTCCATCTTTGGTCATATTAAGAATGTATTTGAAAATAACCTATTTAGTCATTTTTAACTATATAGCTGATATATTAAATTTAATCAGAGTGAAAATACAGCTCAGAGAAAATGTCTATTGCAAAAATGTAATGACACAATAAAATAAAGTTGGGAAGAAAAGGAACGAAAAGACTATTTTTAAGAATGTAAAATACTTCAGGTTCATTTGAATTGTGATTGTTATATTTCAGGAGCTACAAAACTCCACAGCATCTGAGGGACAAGTCGTGGTATTGGAATGCAGGGTCAGAGGACCCCCTCCCATTCTTGTTAAGTGGTTTCGACAGGGCATTGAAATTCAAGATTCTCCAGACTTCAGAATTCTCCAAAAAAGTAAGGCAATAATCTGAAGTGGCTACTTTTGATAGAGGGTGGGGAAAGATCATGAAATGAGTCTGTCAGGATTGAGTTTTGGACAGACTCCTCTCTTCCTCACATTTCAGTAATTATAATGGCTAGAAGTAATAATTGACGTACTGCCACCAACAGAGAATTTAAGTCTTCCTTATTTTGCAATGTGTCTGCACAGATTCTGTACTTGTCTACAGTATTTCAGTATAATATGTTCATTCAGTATACTGTTGTTTATTAATGTAATCTCTAATACCATTTTTCTTGTTTGTTTCCCTTCCTTATGATGTGATATGCAGAGCCACGGTCTGCAACTGAACCTGGTAAGAATCATATGAAAATATAATCTCTTGATTCACTAGCTCTTTGAGTTTGTACTGACGCCATAAATAGAAAAGTGTTTCTGCTGAGCATTGGTAATATGAAACTCCCTTAAAGACAATGTTTCTTTATCACACCTTCCATATTCTACACTGTCCTTTACATCAGTTCCTTTAATAGTTAAACAGTAAATTCAGCAAGCAGAATCTCACAGCTTAAACATTGAAGCAAACTTCATTCTCAGAAAATGAGTAATTTGCATGCTACTGAGGAAAAAGAACAAATCCCACAAAATTCCATTACCCAAATTGTACTCATAAGAGTTTCATAACACCCAACCACTAAATGCTAGTTTTGCCAATCTAGCTTGGCAGATGTGAAGTGTCTCAAATGCAAGTAAAAGCTGGTCCTCAAAAACAAGGGCACATTGAATTTCTCTAGCCGATTCGCAAGATAGAAGTCCTTGATTTCAGCAAGCAAAAAGTGTTCTTCCAACTACAGGTTTTCTCTGGCTGCTTCATTTTCCCATTATGCATCATTACATGGTATGGTAGTTTCTTGAATAGTAAGTGGATGCTAAAAGACTGAGAATGTTTGTTCTTTTCTTTAATGTTTCTAAGTCAAACAACATGTAGAAGAGAAGACAATGATACACTCTGAGCCTTGCTTTAAGAGGGTGGCTGGTTGTGCTTAAATATGCTTGAATTTGGAGAGGGTTTTAATTATGCAGTAGAAAGATAAAACAGAAAAGTTTTCTATCTAAGACCTGGGTACTCCCAAAGAGTGTCTCTGAACTGAAGGACCTGAGCAATGGGGGGATGTTTTAAACTTTGAGTGGTTGCATTGGCAGTCTTTGACTGCGGGGAGAACAGACTAAGCAGCTGAGTGATGTTTATAAAGTAGCAGTGTGGCTATGAGGATATGGACTAGGAAAAAGCAGTGAAGGGTTAATGCTAGGAGAAATGCAGCTTTCTCTTAGCTTTCATGGAAAGGAGAGGAGGTGAAGAGGGAAAAAGCTTCTGCTTTTCTTTGTCAGTTATTCACTGATTTTCTTACGGCTTCACAAAATTGTTATCTACCTATTTTACTTCATGACGATCATACATATACATATATACACACACGTGTGTGTGCACACACACACGCATGCTTTATCCTGACAGTTAGCATTATTAATTGTGGTGTGCAGCATCATCACCTCTAGTAACAGCTGATGCCCGAAATACATGTGACTGACTGATTTGATTTATGGAGGTTTGAAATGTGAGCCATGTGAAGGAAAGAAGAGTGCTGGAAAACCAGATTAACCTCTAATGAGGAATTAAAATATGTCCAAGTGCTAACAATGGGCTATTGGTAGTTTATAATCATAACCCAAACTTTAAGGTTTAAAAATTGTAAGTTATAGTACAAAACAGTTTGAGGAGAGTTTCAATATCATATCAAGCCTTTGGATATGAAAAGAAATAAAGGAGAATACATTTGTGTTGAAATATGTTCAATTCTGTATCTTTCTTGGAACATACTCCTGTAATATATATATATTACCAAATAAGTCTCCCAACTTAGTTGTTTTCTTGATATTTAAAAAAAAAAAAAAAGTCGGATCAATGGGTTGACTTTTTTCCCCTTCCCAGAGAAACTTATTTGCTGTCCAAGTAGTAACATCTTTTCTAGATTTAATCTACCAAGGCTGAGAATAGTACCTAGTATATCCAGCTCACTGTTACTAGGAGCTTCTTTTCTACAGAATCACTTGAACTGCATTCACTCTCTCCTTTAACATGATAGAAAGTATCTGTAATGACTGAAAGTTTACACAAAAGTTTCTATGAAGTCTAAATTTACTAGCATATGTTAGGGTTTTTCTTTTTAATATCTAATTTGAAACTGTTCTGTCAAAACTCATAATCATCAATAGCGTTTGCTTATTTTTGGTAATCTCTTTTTACGCCTTCACCCTCTTTAGGCAGCATAACGTGTATAATGCTAGATTAACAAAATATTTTAGAGTAGGAATGCAGTGTTATCTAGTAGAAAGGAGAAGCACTTGTTTGCTTGAGACAAAACGTTCAAATTCCATTGCATGAATAGTTGAGTACAAAGGAAATTGTCTATTATGCCTCATGCTAGAAGATTTTTTTTTTATGGACAACTAAGTTATTTTCAGTATTATTAGTTGCAGGGTTCGTATAGCCTATCTGATGGATAGTCATGATAAGTCACAAAGCTAACAATTTCCTTTCATAACTACTACCTGAAATGGGAAATAGAAGGTGGGATTCTGAGTCCAAAAAGATCATCACTTTGCCAGCCCTCTCACATACCTGCACCATCATGTTGATGGTGCTGAATGCTCTCCTTCCCATGTCTGGTTAGCTTGCAGACCCCGGGGAGAATGAAGCCTTCTAAAGCATATTAAGGAATGAATCCTTACGTGAAAAGTGCATTTCTTGAGTTTTCACAGGTACAGAAAAGTTATTTAATATCAAGGTATCTCATACCACTCTCAAGGTAGGTGCCAAGGCAAGAGTAGGAAGGCATCTCAAAATACTATTTTGGTATCTGTATTGTTGTGGTTTAATAGACAGAACAGTAGCAAATGCCTGACAGCAGTCTGTCTGTTGGTTTTTTTTTTCCATGCTTGTAATTCTTTTGTAATATATATTTATAAGCACTTCCCTGCTACCGAAAACCTATGAAAGAGTTTCAGTTTGGTATTTTGTTCTCCCTGGATTCATTGAGCTAAGTGCTATCCCTGTAAGATTTGTGTGTCTATCAGTTCCTACTTAGCCTTATTAAATAATGTGAGTGTCTTACTCTCCAGGAAAATTAATGACAGTACACTTATCACTTATTGGCTTATTTGTGTAGGAATTGACTCTGTGCATGAAAAGGGAATGTAAATAAAATTTGGGCAAAATGTAAATATTTCCCTTTGGCATAATTGATGAGCAGTATTTTGTGTATTAGTAGTAATACTGGTAATAAGTAACACTGTTTTTTAGGATGTCATGAACAATCTTAAAATTTCTACAATAGGAAGCTGGGTGGGTACCAGGAACATAATAGGTACAGCACTGCTTTGCGATGCAATTCATACTCTAAGCCGCCAGACAAAACGATACCTGCAGAGCAAATTCTTCATAAGCAAACTCGCAACTGCTGTTCAGTGCAGGTGGTGAATAAGTGTGCAAGACTGACAGGGAAGCCAACATGCCTATGCTAGATAAGTATTCAGAATTTTGAAAGATGGACGTGATTTTTTTCAGAAATTCATTCAAAAATTTTTCCAAGTGTACAACTTCCATGGAATGTTACATAAATTGTAACAAGTAGTGTGACTTTAATTGCTGGTTGCCAACCAAAGTCCAACTCTCAATAAACACTTTATAGTGCTCAAAAACATTGGTTACCCTTTGCAAGGTCAGTACTAATGATTTAAAACAAAACTGTTCCATGAACTCATACAGGTAAGAAATTAAGAAGCAAGGGGGTGGCTGGCTACTATTTTGGGTACATTCTATCCACCCTAATGTGTTTTGCACTCCTTTTTCTGTCTAGACAGAAATCAGTTTGCGTCACAAATCTCTCCAGACTGCTTTGTGAATTAATAGCTAGTCAGATTACTTAAAGCAAACATCACAGTTTGTCAAATTACCTGCTCTGTATTTCTTTCTTGGGCGTTTTGACTTTATACTGATTGAATCCTTCAAAGAATAGGCTGCCTGAGAATGAAAAATCCCATGGAGTCATTTGCCAGCTGTTGATATTTTGACCATTACTCAGCTGTCTGGAGGCAGCCACAAACTGTATTGAATTACATTAAAACAATTGTCTAATGGCATGTAAGAAGAAAACTATATGAAGTAATTCTTCTTAAATTGCCAGGGAATTGCCACATATACATGCTTTTTTTTTCCTAAGCACAATACTGTGTATGTTCACAAAAGACATCTCAAAAGATAGTCATCACTTCTCTTGGATTGTGCTTTCTTGTTCCCGGTTTGGCTGCTGTGTTCCAGAGCTTCAGCTCTAGTACATAACGCCCTTAGAAATCCCACCCTATTTCTGCATGATGCTTGAAACTAGAAATATATGGCAAATGTTACAGAAATCCTTACTGCCTCCCCACACCAAAAAAATCAGCTTTCTGATAGCTGATGAAATTCAAAACACAGAAACTTCAGTAGGTCAGCATGCATGTTGGATCCTTGCATTTTTTAATGAAAACAAAAGAATTATGACGAAGAGTCTGGCTTTCTCTTTCACTGCTCAGCAGCAAAGAAGGGCTTGAAGAGAGCAATCTCCAATGAGCTATAGCTCAAGATGCCAAATGAAGAGAAAATCTGAAAATAAGCTAAAATTGTCCTTCGTTAAAGGTGGTCTGATCAACCTATGCACTATTGCTTGTCAATTACATTTTCAGTTGTACTCTGCACTCGCAAGGTGCCTACAGAATTCTGGTCCTGTCAGTCATCGCATCTTAAGCCTGACTGCTACAACTGTCCTTGATTGTTGATCCTTCCAAATTCAAACTAAACCTCTGATTTTTTGTGCTATGTGTTTTAGAAAAATTGCTGCTATTCCTCTTCAGTTGTAAATATTTAAAGCTTTTTGGGGTACATTAATCATCACAGTTATGTTGCTGAATAGGTTGATTTCAGCTTTGATGTATACACCTGACTTAACTTCAAGCTAGCTGGCTTAGGCATCTACAGCACCATAACTGCCTTAGTGTATGCTTTAGCATAAACTTGATGACCCTGATAAAGGGCTTAATTTATCCTCAAACCTGAACACTGCTTTAGGGACTAAAGTCCATGCTGCCACAGCAGTATTCCTATTTATTGTACCTGAGCTGGCTAGATAGCAGCCATCTTGTGCATTGATTACATATGCTGTAACCTAGGTTCTGTACCCTAAAACTGCATTATATTGCCCACAATCACATTTGCTGTTGTTCAGTTTTCTTCTCAGTATTTTGTAAGTGCTGTTTCAGATATCTTCAAACATAATCGGTTCTGTATATCTTTCAAAAACTTCTCTCTTCATTTTTTGAGTGGCATAAAGCCTATTAAATAAGCTAGAACTGCTGCCTGACTGGGTAAAGGTGTATACAATAGTGATCATCAGAAACAGGTAAATTAAATACTTTTTTCATTGTATTATTGCAAGTTAAGGCATCTACAGGTCTGCAACACCACCATCTATTATGCTACTCTGCATATTCAGTTCTTCTCTATTATTTTCACACTTGCCTCTTCTCTTTACATAACAGAGGCACAGATACCTAAGTTACCTGATGGACACATTGCTTTGCCATTGAACTGTAGTTAAACATCTGATGGATAGGGGAACAAGAGGGAGAATAAGAGACAAGGTCTACAAGATGACAGGGTTGTGTTTTGTTGGAGTTTTTACCAGGAAACCACCGCTGTGACTACCTGCTGTCTTTGTGTAGCAGAAAACTTGCAGCTTTGAACCTACATCTATAGAAATAGCTCTGTTCATTGCATCATAACGAACAACTAGTAATAAAAGACCCCACTTATTTCCTAGGACTGTATGTCCATTACAGTGGAGGAAGCTAATGGTCCCATTTGGAGATGAAGGTGCAGATAAAACAACTACTCTACCATTAATGTAATGCATAGAAACATTCTGAAGTAAACACATTGCCAGTGATGAAATTTGTTAAAATGCAACAGTTTTCTGTTTTGCCAGAGATTATTCTTCCTAATGGACTCAAGAACCATAAAGGGAAAGGATTACTCTGTAAAATGTAATCTTTCTTTCTAAGTAACGGACAAAATAGTCAGTACTTGCATGCCTAAGCATTTTACATGTTTCAGTGAACAGAATGCTTTTGTATTCATTTAGTCAAGTGTTAAATATGTTTTAAGGCCCTGAGAACAGCGTTTCAGAGCTGCTTTCTGGAACACATTTTTGTGATGAAATTATTTGTCAGCTGATGATTGCCGGGAAGTAGAACAGACATTATTTACTTCAAATCATCAGAGTCTACTTAACACAGTAACAGAAAGAAAAATAATTACATAAGTCAGGATGTAAACCTAGAAAAATACTCAGAGCACTGTGCATTCAGAGTGTGTTATGGAAATCTTTAAAGAATGTTTCTTTTGTCAAATTAGTATTTTATTTCTATGTTTTCCACAGTAGTAAGCCTTTTAGCAAGGACCTGGAGATCAGTGATTCTTGGTTTGGGGGGAGCAAAATTAATAAAGACAATGGCAATGTGTTGCTCGCACATGCTTTTTGCCCGAGCTGCCTTTTGATTAGTCCTTAGGGGTTTTTTATGTTTTTGCTTTAGCCAGTTTTCTCATGATTGGTCACAAATGTGTTGTACTTTGCTCATCCAGCTGAGAAGACTGTTTAAAACTCCGATTATTTTCATCACTAATTTACTTTCAATTTCTTTTACAAGGATTACTGCAATTTACCATGTGTAATTTTCAAATATACCACTTCGGTAAACAAACCACATCATGGTGGAATCCATTAGAATTCTTTTATCACTGAAGAATGAAGATCAGGTCTTCTCATGTGATCGTTTTCCATACTTCAAAAACTGAAAGAACATGATGCATTAATTAGCTCTGCTGTTTGGAAAATAGGAATTCTGCTGGTTGGTATATTTTGTAGTACCTTTGCCCTCATTCAAACAGCAGTTCTCAGCATGGTAGGAGTGATTTTCTTTTGCAGTCCTGAAATACCCAGCTTTCAGAATTCTGCTGTTAAATGAACAGGAAACTAGTACGCTGCGTGTATCAGATGGCTTCCCCAGAGTCAGGTCAATCCAGGAGTACGCATATGTGGTTAACAATATAGCTTCAACTGCTTACGACACACCAAGACTCTAAAAAAACCCTGATCTCAGTAGTTCAAAAACTAGCTTGTGTTACCCATTACTTTCCTGATAAGGCCTTTCATGAGTCATTAATCTTCATCTGGGTCAGATAAGATCCAACGTGCTACAGTATTACCAGACATGCTGCTTGCAACTACACAGAATCACTGGTTTATGTTGCCAAGAAAAAGCATGTTCTGCTGTCTGAAAAACAACTCTGTGCCAAGTCTTTAGTTAGTCATTCATTTTTAGCCCATTTCCAGTACAGGAAGTTTTTGGATACACTGTCATTTATAATTGGAAAAATTCCGTAAGTTTTTTGTTAATTGTCTAAATGAGACAGTGGTCTGCCATTCCACAGTGAAAATTAGGAATGAAAAAAAAAAAAAAAAGAACTATTAGAAAATGTTTTCCTTCTTTGAACTAAAAGAAGTGAAGCTTACCTTACTGAACCTCTTCTACAGAAAAATTTTCATGTGAAAGTTACTGGAGTCTGAAATACACTTCCTCACTTTTCAGTTTGTTTTTATTAGCTATATTCCATTCATTTTGTGATAATATGTGGCATTCCATGTAAATGTCCAAAATGCCTTTTTTTTTTTTTTAAATGAAACTGAATTCTGTAAAACTTCCCTGCTTTTGTTTTGAGACTACAAAATGGGCATAAGCAAAAGAAACTCCTAATTAATTAAGGAAACCTACAGCATAACATTGTCCAGGTCTAAAATTATCTAGGTATGTTGTGTAAACACTAGGATTATTTAGATTAGGTATACTGTGCATTTTTTTAAAAAGATTAGAATACCATTGCAAGTAGAGATAAAATAAAGTGACTTCTTTGAAGAATCTGGAAAAAAATATGCCTAGATAATTAAATGTGTCTATTATAAATGGAGGAATTGATTTAGAAAACATTACTGTGGGACCCAACCTGAAATATGAACAGTCCAACCTTCATGCAAGTTTTCTGACTGAGGCGCTGGTATAATCAAAGCATATACTATGGCATATCAAAGTAGAATGAACAGATCAAACAGTCGCAGAATATGTGTCACAGCATTCTGAAGAGTTTCTGGGGATGCTGTTTTGTCCTATATTTTCAATTTATCCATTCTCACTGCTGTGCAGACAGAGACAGAAATTATCTTCCCAAACTCTACATAAGGGGAATATTTATGCATCCAGAGTTTTTAATTCTGGTCAGTTTATACAGAAAAGTTAATTGGAAGTGATGACAAAATACTTTCTGGTTTTACTAGGAATGGGATTTGATCTGAAATGTTGTATTAAATACAGAAAATTGCAGGGAAAGAAGGAATGATGTGACATTCATATTGGTGGTGTTATTTAGAGACCCCAAAAAGAGGCTGCAAATATTAATTGTGTATGGAAACAAATACATTGATTTGTATGAATCAGTACTATCCTGCATAAAAATGAAGATATTGAGTGTGTAAAATGACTGCACAGACTTGTGATTGCAAAATTACAGTTCAAGACAGGCCCCTTCTGAAAACTTAGCTTGGTGAATTTACTTGTTTTAGATACAAAGTGATTTTCATTAAAGCCGTTTATGTTGGAAGCCCTTCGGCAGTTCTCCCAGCATTTTTTTTTTGTATAAGGAGTACTTTTTGGTGTCCTTCTAACATACAATGCAAAAACATTACATTACTTTGAATAGTTTATGATGCAGTTTATTTTTCTGTTTACTTCCAGAAGAGATATGTACCCTTGTAATTGCAGAAACTTTTCCTGAAGACTCAGGACTTTTCACATGCACAGCAACAAATGAACATGGTTCAGTAACAAGCAGTGCACAACTAACTGTCTGCTCAGGTATGTGATGAAGGGAAA